CTCAGGTGTGCCCTCCATTTGGGGTTAGAGTTCCAGGTGTCCCCACACTGACAACCGAGAATCACCATCACAGTGGGCACATCAAGGTAAGTTTATCTAGATATGATATGCCCGTGCCATGTGGCTTGGACTCTGGATCCTGGGACAATGCCCTAGTTATCATGGTGAGTGTCCTGTCACCTCTGGCCCGGGACAGGTGGTGAATGGTAGCGCATGTCCATCTAGGCGCACTGGCAGCAGGGAGAGGACTCCAAAGATGAATGGATTCGCTGATATCAAAGGAGGACGTGTGCTTGCTTTCTGAAGCCACTGCCACCAGAGCTGTGGCTGTTCGCGGGCAGCTTTGCTCCAGTTTCTATTAGCATGGTAACCCTGTAGTCCTATAAAACCAAGTCCATGAAGGTAGAGAACAATCAGCTGCCTCATCTCTCTGAGGACCACGGCTTCAGGAAGCCTGTGGCCCCACTGTGACAGGGGCAGCCCAGGACTGGGCTCTCAAATCCAAAAGTGCTTTGTCAAAGCACACAGCCATGAGAACAGAGAGGACAAGGTACTTGGTTCAAGTTCGGCAGGTGCTGGAAGGCCTACCTTGTACAGAGAATACTGCCCAGGAAGAACGCTGCAGAGGTAGGAGGTATTTGCTAACTCACAGGCAACTTCTGGGTTGCGCTGGTAGAAAAAAAAATTAAGTAAGATTGAGCTATGCTGTGCCTTCCCTTCGGAGGCGTTCACGGATGCTGGGAGAGCCGCTGTGCTCCATCCTCGGCCATCAGATGGTCCTGGAGGGCAGGCACATCATGAAGGACCATTTTAAGAGCTCTAAACTAATAACAAATATTTGTTTGTCTTAGGAGTCTTAATTTGGAGTTTCATGCAGCTCAAAGGGTGTGTGTGTGTGTGTGGGGGATTTACAGACAGAGTTACAAAGACATTCAGCAAAGAAATTGCCAAAGAAGGGAACCGTGATATTAAGGGTGTGACATAGGTGGTGAAAGATGAGGATGTCACAGCTAGAGAAACTCACCTTTACCTGGGTGTGCCCATACGTGTGTCTAGGAGTGAATGCGTTTCTTCTGAAGTCTTGCTTCTTTACTCATTATCTCAGGACAGCAAAGCTTGCCTTGCTTTGATCCCTGAGTGTCATTCACCCTCTCTACAAACCACTCAAGTCTCCAATGCCGCCAACTCCCAGTCATGGCAGCCATGGGCAATCAACGGCCCAGAGAGCCTTGGCATGGCTGGATGGTGGTGATCCAAGCCTCTTGACTGAAAAGCTGGTGTGGCGGCGTTTCACTATTGGTTGTTATTCATTTGTGTAATATCTTCATTCTCGGCAGTGTTATCATGCCCTCCTACTTACCCAGCAGACATTCATTCAGAGAGGCCATCAGTGAAGGCTTAGGCGTGTTTTCCCTGATCTCTCAGCCCAGAAGCCAGAAGACGAGGTTCTCCCCGTGGCGACATGCTGTCAGTGAGGATGGCTATCTGCTGAGCTGTCTTCTAGAGGGGTACTTAGTGAGCTGGTAGAGGCACCCATAGTCATCCGACATGCCACTTCTCAGGGTTGTCAAAGCTCACAGAAAGATTGCACAACCGAGGAGGCAAAACCAGAACCGTTCCTTCAGCCCCGTCACACTCACCTGTCTTAGAGGGATGATGGGGACGGAACTCAGGTCCTCCTGCCAGTGTGGCCGGCACTTCACCACCTGAGGCAAGCCTTGCCTCAGCCTCCTGTGCTAATGACTGTTGGAGTCCCTGATGGGAGGCCTGGCTTGCAGAAAGATTGATCGTCATCGTAATTATTATAAAGGATTACTGAGAAAACACTTCTGTTCAGTCCCCCCAGCCCCACCAGAGACTTCCCTGGACAACAGTAAAGTTAAAATAAATTCACGCAAAAATAGAAATCTAAAATTAAATATTTAATTAGAACTCTGATTTGCTTTAAAGATAGGTGGCATTACACAGGTTATGTTACACTCTCTTTATAATTTTTCTTTTGACAAAAAAGATACTGTTCATTTTAACAGGCCGCTTTAATATTAATACATGTCGAACAGGATTGGAACTGAAAATTGGCTAGAGAGGGTGATTTTACATTATCGGGAAAATTACAGTTTTGCATTGTAAAAACATTTATTTTTTAACAATTTACCTACATTAATCAAAAAATTACAGCATATTTAATAATTTTACAAATTCTTCATAAAAAATATATCTCTGTACAAAAAGGTCTTCCGCACCTACGTTGTGACAGCAGCGTGTGGAGGGGACAGGAGGGCGGGGCAGCGACGATGGATGGATGGATGGTTTTCCTGATCATAATGCCAGCTTTCTTTCCCCCCCTTTTTTTAATAATAGCTTTTGTTGTTCTTGTTGTTGTTTACAAAATATTTTACAGAAGAAAAAAATTATTGCAGCTAGCCTGAAGGCAAGATGGGCAAAGACAAGCAACAGTTGACAGCTTCGAAGCATATAACCTGTCACACATAGCGTGTCCCCTCACTGTGCTCTGGGCGCCTCAGGGAAAGTCTCTAAGACCTCACTGAGGAAGATATTCTTGACTGTCCTGCTGGGTCTTCAATGCCTCTGAGACTGGTGAAACACCAAACACGTGCACGCGCGCACGCGTGCGCACACACACACACACACACACACACACACACACACACACACACACACACTCTAGGAAGGACTGGGCTAGGCGCTCACGTGAGAGTGCCCCTCTGTGATGGTGTGTTGGTCTGAAATACCTTGATGCAGTTTGGTAGCTAGAAGTCAGTTTGCACACAAAGGAAAGCGACACTGGTCTGATCATGTGGCTCCTTGCACGTATGGATGCCCTGTCTGAGTTGTCTTCTTCGTGTAAGTGGATGGCCAAGAGGCCAAGGGTGTGGGGACAGAGACGTTAGTTTAGACTCCAAAATCAGCATTTTGCACCTAGTCAGAGTGACTCAAACTTAGATATATACAATATATATTTATATATATATATATACGTGTGTGTGTATTTCTATATACATCTAATATATATATATAGTGACCCTGTTCTCCCTTGCGCACTACAGTCCTTGGACCTGCTGACATTTTCTGTTTTGTTTTGGCTCAATGTGTGTGTTTAGGAGCACATTCTTGATGACATCATCTGAATTTCCCAGGGATCTAATGAACCACTGTTTACCTAGAAGAACCCCAAGGATGTCAGCTTGGCCAGAGGAACCTGTGCCGGTGCCCCTTCCTAGGACATGGGCTCCTGCAACATGGGACCCAGTGGACTGAGGATCACCAGAAGAGGTCAGGAGCCCTGACATATGACAGACAGCCCTTGGAAGAAGAGCAGGCTGGAGGTAGCCCATTGGGGCCTCTGGAATACTCAGAATTCAGAACCTTGAAAGTAGCGATATATATGATATCCTAGTAAGCTCCTTTCCCACAGGTCCTCTGGGAAGTCCTGCATTTACTTGTCACACAGATAGACAGATACATCCGTCTTAAAGCTAGGCATGAATGTAGTCACCACTGCAAACAGAATGTCCGCATGGCATCTGGACCCACCTGCCAGTGCAAATCTGGGATGTGCAAAGGGGAAATTTTTACCGTGTTGGCTGTGCATGAAACATCAAATAATAAAATAAGCATCATCTTTCCAAAAATACTTTTATCAAACAAATATAAATAAAAATAAACATGATCTTCTCTTTGAATTTCTTACAGACATTTCTCTGGCCCTGCCTTCTCTCCAGACTGTTTGTTATCCTGTGGGCCATGCCACCTGGATTATTTATGCCATAATGGATAGTCTACCAATAAGGAATTTTACGTTTGGAAATCATTGGAACAATTTCAAGAAAGGCAAGTAATCTATAAAACTGCTCACCACGAGGGTGTGCTAGCAATGCCTGCCCTTCTGATCCTGATTTTGACTTGGATTCCCTTCTGATTTCCTCTGAGCTTGGGTGTGGCTGTGAGATAGACTTTCATGGCAGTGTGCGCAGGTGATGTTACAGAACAGAGACAGCAAGCAACCCGCAAAGAAAGACTGCACTGTGAATTGAGACCCGGGGGTTCACAAGCTACCTAAAATAAATTACTATTCACATCGATACATGGAAAACAGACATTGCTGGAGACCCCTGTTCCCAATTAGTGTGGCATAGACAACAGTTGTAAGAACGTGATGGAGAGAAAACAAAAGAAAGAAAAGGCTTTGTTTCAACCACCGTAGTTGGCAATGCATTTGACACATAAACGTGGCTAACAGAAATGATAATAAAAATAACTTCTTCACAGTACAGTCTCCTTTCCAAACTGCCCTGTCTGGGGATATTTCCCCTTAAACCCAGCTGAACTGATGGTGGCATCTTCTGTTTGACAATACAACATGAGAAAATGCTTATGTACAATGTATAGCGTATATAAACCCTGTGTAAATAGTTTATTTAAAAACCAGACTCAGTCATTCTTAACACCCTAGTGCAAAATGTTGAGATTCAAAAATTCTGGGATGGAACGGCTTGACTCGTGAGACCTGCAAACATCCCTAGTGATTGATGGGTGCCCAGGGAAGCCTGAAGATCCTCCGAATGTGTTGTGTCTCAGGCAGGGCAGAGGGAAGCAGGCAAGCGCGTGTGCACTTCCAAGAAGGCGTTTTCTCCAGGAAGGTGTTTCTTTTGTAGAGAACTCTTGTCCAGTGAGGAGGGATAAAAGGAAAAGAAAACCACAAAACACGTATCGAGTCGCTACCATTTTGTCTCCGCACCTGAAGGATGTATCCGTGTGCTTAGAAGACTCCATCCAAAGGCATTCTGGCCACACAGAGACACAGAAGTCAGAGGCATGAAGGACCACCTGTTTCTACGACTCCGCAGTCTTCTTTGCCCTCGCCGGTGTTGGCATCTTGATTTCCGGCGGATGCAGCAAGGCTTTGATAATCCGCTTTCCCGATGACGATGTGTTTGCAAGTTTAGCCTCAGAAGACTTGGTCATGACTGAGGTGAGATTCCCACTGTGTTATGCCAGCAGATGATGGCCAAGGTTGCTGCAGCAAGGCAAGAGTAGAAGGGAGGGTGGTATATGGCACCAAAGGATTTTACTGCTTGTCCATCAGAGGTATGGCTATGAATTGGTCCTAGGGGGCACTGAGGGCTATACCACTGTACACACTGTGTTCAGAGTCGTGTCAAACCTCACAGCCTTGGCCTCTGTGGGTTTTAAGTTTGTATCATACATGGGATTTTCAAATGAAGCTTGTCCATTACTGTTCTCGTGGCCTGCGTAGCCATTATATTGAACTTTTGGTCTTGTTCTACAGAGAAAAGAGTGCACACAGTCAGATCAGACCCTTCACTGCAACGGCCCAGGCCTGTTTCCCAGCCTCCTCTCAGCCTCTGCGCTTCCTCAGCAGGTTCGGATATGGCGGGGCAGAGTAGCTACTTCAACACTGTTGGTTCTTTAAAAATTGGTGGTTGGCGTTCTGTGGGCTTGGGCAGTTCTGTGGGCCCAAGGGCAGTGGGACCAGGATTTATCCCTAGCCCTTGAGCTGATAACTTACTCAGCCTTGATGAAGGGTGGGGTGGGGGTGGGGGGCTTTGTCCTGCCTCAGCTTAATGTACCAGACTTTGTTGACTCTCCAGGGAAGGCCTTACCCTCTCTGGGAAGTGGATGCATGGGGAGGGGGGCGTGCTTGGGTGAGAAGGTGGGGGAGGGGGCCCGAGCAGAGGAGGGAAGGGGAACTGTAGTTGGTATGTAAAAACAAAAAACTACAACAAATACTTTTTAAATATAAAAGTTAAAGAAATGATGCCAGGTGGCAGTGGCATACGCCTTTAATCCCAGTGCTCAGGGGGCAGAGGCAGGCGGATCTCTGAGAGTTCAAGGCCAGCCTGGTCTACAAGATTTGATTCTAGGACAGGCTTCAAAGTCACAGAGAAACCCTGTCTAGAAAAAACAAAAATAAATAAGTAGTTAAACAAACAAACAAACAACCAAATAATAAAGTGTTGGTTGGGATTATAAATAGGACATAAAATTAGAAATAATTTTCAAAACTAAAAGAAAAATAACCTTCTCTGCACTGGATGGAGGTTTGTAGAACCTTCCAAAGCAACAGAAGAAAGCCCTCTCAGCCCAGTAAGGCCCAAGGACTAGGTACTATCTTCACCCTTGTGAGATTAATGCTCACCCTAAGGGTGTGTGTGGGGGGGGGTGGTCACCTAAAGCCATTTCAATTTCAAAGCAGTTCCTCTCCAGCCTTAGCAGCCTTCACTAACTGTTGATCACTTTTACCAGAGAAGTTTAGTTTCTCTTGTGGGTCAAATGTAAGCCATTTGGGGCTGGAGAGATAGCTTGGCAGTTAAGAGCACTAGTGTACGCAAATGCGTACAAACAGGAAACCACTCATATCTAAAACATAAGAAATCATTATCTTTGGAAGAGCCCGTTTATTGAAATGAGACTTATGATTAAAATGTTTCTATATGTGTGGCTAAAGAAAACCCTTTCTTCACAAGCCATGTGTAAAAAGAGGGGTTATAGAGTAAAAAAATTAATTTAAAAAAAGAACTAAACGTGGCACTGGGCAGATGGCGTTGTCAGAGCATGGGGGTGGGGGGCTGAGTTCAAATCCTCACAGAAAAAGCCAGATGCGGCATGTGTGGTCTTCAGAAACCTGGTCTCTGTCAGCAGGATATCTCTGCAGCTGCCCCAGGGGCCAGTGACACCAGCGACACAATGCTTGAGGAACACTAGTCAGCAAACCAATCTCAGTCAGTGCTAATGAACAAAAGACCTGCCTCAGAGCCAGAGTGACCCCATTCTCTCGCTGTTAGACCCATACAGGGACAGGAGAAGAGATACCAGAGCTTAGACCCAGCTCATTGAGAGGTGGCATCAGAACCGCGAGCTCTGACTGAGGACCTCTTCCCAATACAGAAGGATGAGGGACAGGAACTCCAGCCTGCCTGGACTTTGGGCACCTGAAAAGCAACACCCAGCCATATCACTAAGGAATATCTCTATCTGCTGAAGGTGAGAGACAGGCACTGTACGAGCACGGACTCAGGAGAGGCTCACCCCGTTGAAGGTATGGGACACTGGCTCTCCA